CTGGGTAGCCAGTGGCGGAACAGAAACAAACGGGAACAAAAGATTCTCCACCCGGCCCTCCTCCGGGGGAAGGAGTGGTGCGGTCACAATCTCCTGAAGAGCAGGATCCAAGAGCTCCGGGTCGCCCATCTCAGGGACGCCGCCTGCCCTGGCGCTTCACACCCTCGGCGACGAGCAGACAGAGGGGCTGCAGCCGGCGGTGGGGGGGAGACAGCAGCAGACCGCCGGGGCAGGATATGTCGAAACGCCTCTGTCTGCTTCTGCGCGGATGGAGAACTGTTGGGCAAAGCCCTCCACCGCTTCGCCGAATAGGCCGGCCTGGGAGATCGGGGAGTCCAGAAAGCGATGCTTGTCGGCCTCCCTCCTATCCGCCAAGGTCAGCCATAGGTGGCGCTTCTGGACCACCCATGTGGACATCGTCTGACCCAGGGCCCGCGCCGTGGAGTGCGAGGTTCATCGCCGTGCGCAGTTCTTGCAGCACACCTGGGTCAGCACCATCCTCGTGCAACTGCTTCAACGCCTTGGCCTTGTGGACTTGCAGGAGGGCCATGGCGTGCAGGTTGGAAGCGGCCTGTCCAGCAGCACTGTAAGCCTTGGCCGTCAGCGCAAATACATACATTTTACAAATTAAAATGTATATAAAGCATATAAATACATATGCAAATAATTATTTACATACGCTCGCATACATACATTATATATATATATATAGTTTAAAAAAAAATTTAAAAGTCTTATGAAAAAAGACTAAAGAAGGTAAAGAAGTCTCATATTGCAACATTAGCCCGGGGTCGTCTGACATGGCTCAAGGAATGATCTTTCAGTTAGATTGCTTTAATACGTTTCACCTTCATAATGTTTTCTTGTACTCTGAATAAATTAGGAGTGTGAAATCCAGTGCAGATTTGCTTAAAAGTCCTAGTATGATCCTATAATGTTCTTATATTGTATGTTGCACTCCTAGCACTGAATATGAATAATTTAACAATTTAAAGGACATTTATTTGACTTGTAAGCAGTATACGGTGTGCATTTCTGTAAATAGTTCAGGTCTTTTTAAAGGGATAGTTCAGCCAACAATGAAAATCTTCCCATTTCAGGACTTAAACAACAAAAAATGCCACTGGCTTTTGTGCATCTCCTAATCAAATCAGACACAGAAAGTCTGCATATACAACAGTGTGAATAAGATTTAAGATTTGTGAGTAACTTTTTAAAATGCCCTCAATGTACAGCTTGAAAAGATGTGAAATATAGCATAATTTGGACTTTTATTGTGCTTTTTGAGTTTGATAACCCGTTCACACCAAGGATGATATCTATAACAACTATAACTATGATAACTATAACTTTAAAATAATCGTTCAAATTCTATGACAATAGGGAGGTCCACACTACAACTATAACAATAATGACAATATTGTTGGAATCACTTTTAGACTGTTTTTTCCCCCCAGTTGATGAATGGTAAAAACATTGACAGCCAACCAGAATCCACCTGACTTTAAACCAGCAGTATGTAGTTATGTCTATTTTTGTGACTTTAAAGCCCCCTACAGTTAAGTGAGTGGAATTCACTTTTGTAAATATATCACTGTGGTAATTACAGTGGATAGCTGCACACATGCATTTGTTGCTGCCACCCTCGGTTTTTGGAGAGATGTGTGAGAAGAAGATTCCTCTAACATCTCTGATTTGATGACATGCAGTTTCAAAATTTGTATGAATCTATGAAGGTTGGAAGTTGTATTGAAGGCAAATGGTGGTAAAACACCTTAATAAATAAATATTGCCTATTACCTGTACATACAGTACAGTTGCTTTAAAGAGCTTGAACATTTATAAGCGTGAACATTTAGAGCTTAAACATATAAGCGGGTGTTCGCCACAGGATTCTCAGATTTCTTCTCCTTCAGCGACGATGATGATCTGCTCGCTGTAGAAAGCAATGCAGCAGGAATTAAGCTGATTCGCCGCTCCTCCCGCTACCTTCAGCATCGTAGCAGCAGAGGTCCCAGCTAATTCCCCGCAGCAATCCGGCGAGCCTAAAAACAGCCTAAAAGAGCTTATTTCTAACAGGCAAGTTCTTAAAAGAGTTAATTTTCTTGCGACGTTGTTGCAAATGTTGTGCTGCGGGTGTGGCTAGAGGAGTAGTGAGCGCGTCGCCTGTCTGGGCCGCCCCCACGCAGAGACTGCACGCTCACTGAGACGGAATGCTCTCACTGAGAGCTTGAGTCTCACCCCTCTCCACTCGCGCCCCGCCTTCTTCAACGAAGGCAGCCCCACTCTCTCATTTCTCCTCTCTCAGCAAAGCTCGGAGATAGAAACAGCAGAGCCATGGGGCTGAGCAACCAGGTTTAAGCAATCGTACGCCGGCACAGAGCCCATGTGCCTGCTCTCCCCACTGCACTTTGATCTGCTGGGGTGTTTTACAAGTGAGGACCAGCACCCCTCGTAACATCGAGCGGTTCTAACCTCCTGGGTGGATCGGAGCAGAATGCTGTCACCTCTCTATTGCTGACAGCTTCGCATTGTGTGTGCGGCGCTGAAGCTGCACTCAGACAGGCTGCTTTCATTAGAAAGCCCCAGTCTGTTCCTGTTTTGCTCGCTGGTCCCCTCCTCAAGTTTCTCCTCCTCCCGGTTACCTCAGAGGACGAAATGGCGAATTCTGACTGCTTTACATTTGTGTAAGCGTCGCGGAGGCTGCTTTCACTATGAAAGCCTGAGTCTGTCCCCACGCAGCTCTTTGATCGGCCAGCGTGTTTTACACATGAGGATCAGCTGTCACCAATGATTTTATATCGCTGACAGTTTCGAGTTGATTGTGCCGCTCGCCCGGGCCACACCTACGCCGAGACTGTGCACACTGAGATAGACCGCTACAAGAGCGTGTGTCTCGCTCTGCTGCGCTCGCGGTTCGCCGCGGTTAAATGAAGACGGCCCCTCCCCTCGTCCGCTACGAGCGGATTTGAGAGAATGCGCAGAGCACTTTTGATCTGCCAGTGTGTTTACACATAAAAAATCATCAGTACCCCTCTTCTAATGAGCGGTTTTGATCTTTTTAGGCAGATTGAAAGGGAACGCTGTCACTAATGATTATCGCTGACAGCCTCAGATTCTAGATGCGTCTGGGCCACGCCCATGGGGGCTGAGTGCTCTCGCTACGAGGGCATTGAGTCTAGCGCCCCCCAAACGGCCTCTGATCAGAACCACCCCGTTCAGTTCCGGGTGCCGACGGCAATGTGTTTGTTATGAACTCCGTTGTGAATACTGGTCCTGTTCAAAAGCGCCCACACAACTGGTCGCTGTTATAGCAAGAAAAGTAAAACACAAACATTAACAGAGAGCAAATTTACTCTTCCATTTCTCGCACCGTGGTCCCCACCTTAGTACAAAGCAGGGACGCTCATGTCCTGCGGTCAGAGGTGATGAATCTGCTGGCAAAAGGAGCTGTAGTACGGTTCCTCCAGCTCAGAGTGAGTCAGGATTCTACAGCCGTTACTTCCTCGTCCCCAAATAGGATGGTGGCCTCCGGCCCATCCTCAATCTCAGACACCTGCATCATGCCCTCATGAAAAGATCGTTCAGGATGACTATGCTGAAACAGATCCTTGCGCAAATTCGCTCAGGAGACTGGTTTTCGCTGGATGCATACTGGCCCCCTGCACTTTTATGAAGTGCAAGGACGATGGGATACCGACTTTCCCCCGATTCCATTAAATTTAAGTTGAAATACTAAATTAACTAAAAACTAACATCTACATTAGACATAAAAAAACACGCAAGAAAATTATTAAAACTTTAACTGAAATGCAACTATAACAGTAACTCAATGATGCTAAAATAACACCGTATTTATGAAAAACTGCTTGAGATGACTGTGAAAATGTAGATTCCCAGAAAAGTATGATGTACCTTTGAAACAGCGCACCACTCCTGAGCAGCAGCTCCACAACTTGAGTGTGTCCTGCCATTGAAGCAAGATGGAGGGGCGTCAGACCCTTTTCATCCCAATCGTTCAGCATTTTAGAGTCTGTGAGGGTCTCCAGCAGCCTTTTACATGTGTTTGTACGCCCATATCTGACAGAAATTGGAGTAAACACTTAATATTAGCTGGAGTTATAGAGTTATATTTAGAGTGTGTAAGATTTGAAAGCTTGGCGTTATGCTGCATTCATTTGTTTTAAGGCCTGCAAAATTCTCATAAATGGTCAGAACTACCTTTGATATGTTATTATAGGTCAAAACCTATTGCATATATATATAAGAAAATATGCACAAAGATCTGATTTTGAAATAGCTGTGGCTGTATTACAAACGTTCTCACTCTGCAGCGAAGTGAAGCGCTGATTTCTTCTCCCGTGACTTTTGACCCACAAAGATATTAAGACCCAGCATATTTTTGACCGAATCGTGGATGCCAAGTTTGCAGGCGTAGTGCAGAGGAGTGCAGCCTTCAACATCCTCACCAGACAACATCTCCTTCACGGCGTTGCTCTGGAGGAGGCAATGGGCTCTTATAACTATATACAGAACATACGCATGTTTAAAACAGTACATTATGTAATAATCCATAACAAAGGGTCACTTGTACTCTAAGAGTTGTGTTCTGCATCTGACAAACTGAACTTGACATTTAGGAAGGTTTTCACACCTGTAAGACTGTCTCAGGAAGATTTTTCAGCCCTTTTGGTTGAAGAACGACAAAGTGGAGGAAGTTGCGACCTACTTTGTCTTTGATTCTGAAATTGGCACCTTTTTTCAATAAGACAATATGTTAAATATGCAGAAATGTACATGCAAATAATTTTGGAGCTATAACGTGTTGAAAATGTTTACCAATTGACAGCAAAAACGCAACTGTTTTCCAAGCACCGCATCTGGAGGCCATCAGCATAGGAGACAGTCCCTTACAGTCAATGCAGTCAATTTCTGCTTCCTTTCCAAGACAAATGAGATCCAAATGACAGTGAATTAGCAGCTTTATCTAAGGACATATGGTGAGATATTGGACATCAAAGGACATACGATAAGATGATGAGATATTGGGTGCTTAATATTCATCTTTTCAAAAGATAACTCCAAGCTTGGCAGCTTGCTGGTTCACAGAGTGTTTTAGCTGCTCACATTCTCACAAAGCAGCCATTTAAACATTTACCTTTGAAATAAGATATTCAACCAACTCGACATGATCAAACAACGTGGCTCTATTAGGAAAAAAAAGTGATTGTTAATCATTGAAGCATGGATATTAATCAAACAAATACAGCTGTGAATTGTAATAGGCCAAGCACGCTAATGGCATAACCATTATTAATACATTTGTTTGGTCATAGCAAAAAAGTGCTTTAAAAGTCATATTGTACCAACAAGAATACAAATACATATTTTAAAAATGACAAAAACATTGTACATATTAAACAGCTACACAGTTTGAAATGCTTTCTAGTTTCTACTTTTAGATATTGTTTCCAAATACATACATTTTACAAATTAAAATGTATATAAAGCATATAAATACATATGCAAATAATTATTTACATACGCTCGCATACATACATTATATATATATATATAGTTTAAAAAAAAATTTAAAAGTCTTATGAAAAAAGACTAAAGAAGGTAAAGAAGTCTCATATTGCAACATTAGCCCGGGGTCGTCTGACATGGCTCAAGGAATGATCTTTCAGTTAGATTGCTTTAATACGTTTCACCTTCATAATGTTTTCTTGTACTCTGAATAAATTAGGAGTGTGAAATCCAGTGCAGATTTGCTTAAAAGTCCTAGTATGATCCTATAATGTTCTTATATTGTATGTTGCACTCCTAGCACTGAATATGAATAATTTAACAATTTAAAGGACATTTATTTGACTTGTAAGCAGTATACGGTGTGCATTTCTGTAAATAGTTCAGGTCTTTTTAAAGGGATAGTTCAGCCAACAATGAAAATCTTCCCATTTCAGGACTTAAACAACAAAAAATGCCACTGGCTTTTGTGCATCTCCTAATCAAATCAGACACAGAAAGTCTGCATATACAACAGTGTGAATAAGATTTAAGATTTGTGAGTAACTTTTTAAAATGCCCTCAATGTACAGCTTGAAAAGATGTGAAATATAGCATAATTTGGACTTTTATTGTGCTTTTTGAGTTTGATAACCCGTTCACACCAAGGATGATATCTATAACAACTATAACTATGATAACTATAACTTTAAAATAATCGTTCAAATTCTATGACAATAGGGAGGTCCACACTACAACTATAACAATAATGACAATATTGTTGGAATCACTTTTAGACTGTTTTTCCCCCCAGTTGATGAATGGTAAAAACATTGACAGCCAACCAGAATCCACCTGACTTTAAACCAGCAGTATGTAGTTATGTCTATTTTTGTGACTTTAAAGCCCCCTACAGTTAAGTGAGTGGAATTCACTTTTGTAAATATATCACTGTGGTAATTACAGTGGATAGCTGCACACATGCATTTGTTGCTGCCACCCTCGGTTTTTGGAGAGATGTGTGAGAAGAAGATTCCTCTAACATCTCTGATTTGATGACATGCAGTTTCAAAATTTGTATGAATCTATGAAGGTTGGAAGTTGTATTGAAGGCAAATGGTGGTAAAACACCTTAATAAATAAATATTGCCTATTACCTGTACATACAGTACAGTTGCTTTAAAGAGCTTGAACATTTATAAGCGTGAACATTTAGAGCTTAAACATATAAGCGGGTGTTCGCCACAGGATTCTCAGATTTCTTCTCCTTCAGCGACGATGATGATCTGCTCGCTGTAGAAAGCAATGCAGCAGGAATTAAGCTGATTCGCCGCTCCTCCCGCTACCTTCAGCATCGTAGCAGCAGAGGTCCCAGCTAATTCCCCGCAGCAATCCGGCGAGCCTAAAAACAGCCTAAAAGAGCTTATTTCTAACAGGCAAGTTCTTAAAAGAGTTAATTTTCTTGCGACGTTGTTGCAAATGTTGTGCTGCGGGTGTGGCTAGAGGAGTAGTGAGCGCGTCGCCTGTCTGGGCCGCCCCCACGCAGAGACTGCACGCTCACTGAGACGGAATGCTCTCACTGAGAGCTTGAGTCTCACCCCTCTCCACTCGCGCCCCGCCTTCTTCAACGAAGGCAGCCCCACTCTCTCATTTCTCCTCTCTCAGCAAAGCTCGGAGATAGAAACAGCAGAGCCATGGGGCTGAGCAACCAGGTTTAAGCAATCGTACGCCGGCACAGAGCCCATGTGCCTGCTCTCCCCACTGCACTTTGATCTGCTGGGGTGTTTTACAAGTGAGGACCAGCACCCCTCGTAACATCGAGCGGTTCTAACCTCCTGGGTGGATCGGAGCAGAATGCTGTCACCTCTCTATTGCTGACAGCTTCGCATTGTGTGTGCGGCGCTGAAGCTGCACTCAGACAGGCTGCTTTCATTAGAAAGCCCCAGTCTGTTCCTGTTTCGCTCGCTGGTCCCCTCCTCAAGTTTCTCCTCCTCCCGGTTACCTCAGAGGACGAAATGGCGAATTCTGACTGCTTTACATTTGTGTAAGCGTCGCGGAGGCTGCTTTCACTATGAAAGCCTGAGTCTGTCCCCACGCAGCTCTTTGATCGGCCAGCGTGTTTTACACATGAGGATCAGCTGTCACCAATGATTTTATATCGCTGACAGTTTCGAGTTGATTGTGCCGCTCACCCGGGCCACACCTACGCCGAGACTGTGCACACTGAGATAGACCGCTACAAGAGCGTGTGTCTCGCTCTGCTGCGCTCGCGGTTCGCCGCGGTTAAATGAAGACGGCCCCTCCCCTCGTCCGCTACGAGCGGATTTGAGAGAATGCGCAGAGCACTTTTGATCTGCCAGTGTGTTTACACATAAAAAATCATCAGTACCCCTCTTCTAATGAGCGGTTTTGATCTTTTTAGGCAGATTGAAAGGGAACGCTGTCACTAATGATTATCGCTGACAGCCTCAGATTCTAGATGCGTCTGGGCCACGCCCATGGGGGCTGAGTGCTCTCGCTACGAGGGCATTGAGTCTAGCGCCCCCCAAACGGCCTCTGATCAGAACCACCCCGTTCAGTTCCGGGTGCCGACGGCAATGTGTTTGTTATGAACTCCGTTGTGAATACTGGTCCTGTTCAAAAGCGCCCACACAACTGGTCGCTGTTATAGCAAGAAAAGTAAAACACAAACATTAACAGAGAGCAAATTTACTCTTCCATTTCTCGCACCGTGGTCCCCACCTTAGTACAAAGCAGGGACGCTCATGTCCTGCGGTCAGAGGTGATGAATCTGCTGGCAAAAGGAGCTGTAGTACGGTTCCTCCAGCTCAGAGTGAGTCAGGATTCTACAGCCGTTACTTCCTCGTCCCCAAATAGGATGGTGGCCTCCGGCCCATCCTCAATCTCAGACACCTGCATCATGCCCTCATGAAAAGATCGTTCAGGATGACTATGCTGAAACAGATCCTCGCGCAGATTTGCTCAGAGGACTGGTTCTTTTCTCTGGACCTGAAGGATGCATACTTTCACATCCAGATAGCCCCCCGTCACAGATGATTCTTGAGATTCACCTTCGAGGGAGTGGCTTATCAAAACACGGTCTTTCCCTTCGGGCCCCCCGCAATTTTACGAAGTGCATGGACGCGGCTCTTTCCCCTCTGAGACAGATGGGAATCCGCATTCTCAACTACCTCGACGACTGGCTCGTGCTGGCCAAGTCAGAGGCAGAATTAATATCACACAGGACCACTTAGAGCGCCTGGGACTCAAGTTCAATTTTGCCAAGAGCACGTTGTTGCCCAGCCAGCGAATATCGTTCCTGGGAACAGTTTTCAGTACGGTTCCTCCAGCTCAGAGCGAGTCAGGATTCTACAGCCGTTACTTCCTCGTCCCCAAATAGGATGGTGGCCTCCGGCCCATCCTCAATCTCAGACACCTGCATCATGCCCTCATGAAAAGATCGTTCAGGATGACTATGCTGAAACAGATCCTCGCGCAGATTTGCTCAGAGGACTGGTTATTTTCTCTGGACCTGAAGGATGCATACTTTCACATCCAGATAGCCCCCCGTCACAGATGATTCTTGAGATTCACCTTCGAGGGAGTGGCTTATCAAAACACGGTCTTTCCCTTCGGGCCCCCCGCAATTTTACGAAGTGCATGGACGCGGCTCTTTCCCCTCTGAGACAGATGGGAATCCGCATTCTCAACTACCTCGACGACTGGCTCGTGCTGGCCAAGTCAGAGGCAGAATTAATATCACACAGGACCACTTAGAGCGCCTGGGACTCAAGTTCAATTTTGCCAAGAGCACGTTGTTGCCCAGCCAGCGAATATCGTTCCTGGGAACAGTTTTCGACTCAGCTCAAATGAGAGCTGTAGTCGTGTCGGAACGGGCTCTGGCCATACGGAGACTGGCGGCCTCCTTCGAGATCGGTGCAACTCGCCCTCTCAAAACGTTTCAGAGGATGCTGGGCCTCATGGCCGCAGCGTCACCAGCACTACAGCTGGGTCTGCTTCGTATGCATCCCCTTCAGCGCTGGTTGAAACCGCGGGTTCCATCCCATGCGTGGCGTCACGGACGCCTACATATTACGGTGAGGGTGCATATACCGGGCAAATTGAATCGAGGAGCAGACATGTTATCAAGGAGCAATGTCTCCTCAGAGGAGTGGATGCTCCATCTGCAGACGGTTCAGAGAATCTGGGAGATCTTCGGCGAGGCCGAGGTAGACCTCTTCACCTCAGAAGATAAATCTCACTGCCCAATTTATTATTCGAAGACCGGAGACGCGTTGGCCCACGATTGGCCTAACCTCCTCCTTTATGCATTTCCCCCAATCGCCCTGATCCCACACAAGGACACAAGGTTCTCCCGGTGGCCCCTCTCTGGAAGAAGCAACTGTGGCTATCAGAGCTGACCCAGCTGTTGGTAGCGGCCCTTTGGCCCATTCTGTTGAGACGGGATCTCCTCTCTCAAGCAGACGGGACAATATGGCTCCCTCGGCCCGAATTGTGGGCCCTACACCTCTGGCAGCCCTGTCTACGAGACGCCTCTACGGCCTTAAGTGGTCTATTTTCTCTGCTTGGTGCCTACGCCATGGCGAAGACCCTTCTACCTCCGATCTGTCAGTGGTGTTGTCATTCCTGCAAGAGCTGCTGGATAAGGGACGCTCCCCATCCACCCTCAAGGGTTATG